TAACAAAATTTTTTTATTAAAAAGTATTGCATCAATTCCTTTAAATTTGTATACGCATTAAAAGTATATGAATATACAACTCCTTTTTATTTTCATAATATCTCCGTAAAAATTACAATATTATATTATTGAATACCACTTTCATACTCAATTTAATTACTGTAATTATTATATATTCATATATTATAGTTATAAATCGGGGTAAAATTAAGGGAATAAGTGTTATTGTTGTTTTTGAAATAATCTACCAATTTCATTTTTTTCTATTTAATAATATCTATTTCAAACTTGCAAGTTGAGTTAAAAGTTATGGTAATAAATTCATTTTTTTTTTATTAAAACTTTCACTTTAAAGAACAAAAAGAAGTAGGTTCAAAATGATTACTTTTAACATATTAAAAATCAATAATAATTTGAAAATAATTAATTATAAAAATTATATAATATATAATTAAAATAATTACTAATCTGGATATAATTAAGGAAATAGGAGTTGATGTTGGGTTGGGTTGGTTACATTTTTAACTTTATAATGCTACAACTCATTGAAAAGTGTATGAATCAACACAATTTTTTTATGAGAAATAATATTTTTTAATAATCCCTTTTTCATTCGACATACTTTATCTTAATCAGGGTATTAATAAGGAACTAGCAGATCATGCAGCTTTTGTAATTATCCACCAAATTCTTAGAATTAAACACTATCTACTGATTTGCATCGAAGCGTTTCTTATGATAGTGATTCTAATCACTGTCACATTAAATCTATACTGGACCCAACTATGCAACGTCACCACTATACCGCGACTCCACTGTGCTGGGTTTTTTATCGTCTAGATATTACAATAAAAACATTATATTCTTTATTAATACATGGGTGTTGGTAGGGGATAGTAGTGAAAATAAAGAAATCTGAGACCTTTGTGGTCAAAAATGATAACACAAAATTTTAGGTTCGCTAATTTATAAACCTGTACTACAAATGATGTCTCTCTGTGAATTATTCTAAATATTTTTTTTTATAATTTAAAATTTTTTTTTTTAATTTTAAATTTAAACTTCATTTTGTATTCATGTTGAAAATGTCTACCATATGCATTTTGTGTTAAAATTTTCGATTTTGTAATTTATTTTATTTTAAAATACCTTACAAAAGTTTTTGAGTTTTAAATCTTTAAAAAAAAAAAAATTTTAAATCATTTGATTTTTATCTCATTTAAATTTAATAACTTTAATAAATATAAACGACCCCATTACTGTAGTCCACCTCGTTTAAAGAAATTTTTGATTCATATTAAAATTTTTTTACTATGTGATTTTTTTTTAATAGCTCATTTATTTTTTCAGCTCTTCTTGACCAACTTTTATTAAAGATACGTCAAATGCTCACAACTAATACACTTAATTGAATAGATTTTTTTAACAACATTTTAATTGGTTATATTTAGTTAAAGTAAATTATTAAAATTAATAATGTTCTAAATATTTTTAATCACCAAAAATTACTTAGAAATGATTACTATGATTTCTATTAAAGTGGTCTACTACAATAAAAATGCAAAAAAAATATTGAGCTTTTCTGATAAATAACAGTAAATTAATTATACAATTTCCTAACTGTATATTAATCTTAACAATACTATTTTTTTATTTTCATGAAATTTTCTACTTAATAATGTAAATTTCAATCTTGAACTTGAGCTTAAAGTTATGGTATCAAATTCAACTTGTTTTTATTATAAACTTTCAAAAAATCAACTTTAAAATACCAAAAAAATATTAATAATTATTATCTAAAAAGTTCTGTGTCAAGCCCTTCAATTTTTATACCCGTTTGCCATAAAAGTAATAAATACTTTATAATTTTTTATAAATTCTCCGAAAAAATTACAATACTAAATTATTAAATATCAATTTCATACTACGTTGAATTGCTTTAATAGATATTTATTCGTAAATTATACTTATAAATCAACTACTAATTAGGAATAAAGATAAAAATAGGAGTTAATTTTGTCTTTAGAATAATCAAACAATTTCTTAAAATTATAGACTATCTACAGATTTACATCGAAGCGTTTTTTATGATAATGATTTTAATCACTGTCAGATATCATCTATACTGGATTAAACTATACCACATCCCCATTGTGCTGGTTTTTTTTTCTTAACAATTAATAAGAAATTATATATTTTATAGAACACTTTTGATAAATTATGCACTGTTAATTTAAATTGTAAATTAAAACAACATTAGAGAAAATATAATTTCTTTTACTTATGAAATTAATTTTAGAATAATGGAGCAAATTCAATTCAAATTAATACATCAACTGAATCTTCTACGTCAGATGATTACGATAGTGATCACCTAGTTAATACTATCAAAGTAATCACTTTTATAAATATTTATACATATAGATACAGGGTGATTATTTAAGGATAAGATACTCATTTTCTTAAAATCTATTGAAAATATTATATACTAATAAAAGGAAATGTTCATTTATTAAAAGAACTCAAAATAACATGTTTGTAATAAGTAATGCATATCGTATATACTATTACATACGACGTAAATTTACAATAGTACTTAGTTGAATGGCAAGTGTGGACAATTTTTCTTATTAATTAGCATTTTAAAAACCCAGCCCAACCTACAATATAAATAATGTATGGTTCGTTAAAATGGATTATTGTTACATTTTGCATTATAAAAACCAAACTAGTAATGAATTTGTATTTTAAATCCAAATCTTTAAACAATTTTAAAACACAAACGTTAATAAACATAATATGAAACAAAATTATTTAAATTTTTTTTTCTATTATATCATCAAACTAAAATTAGAGATTCCTGTTAAAGAAAATTAATATTTAGATTTTTTATCCTCGAAGAGATGAAAAAAAATTATTTAATTACATATTTTTAAAGACGTTTTTTAATTAAACAATATTTTCCTATACGAAAATTTAATATTCTCAATCATTTCCCAAATAATGAGTGTCTTATATTTAATGAATGACTCTGTATATACGGGTGTCTGTTATCTATGTTTGACACAATATCTTTATAAGTACAAAATAAAATATAAATCTTTCTTTTCAGAAATTTTAAGTATCCTATACACTTAAATTAACAGAAAAAATATATCTCTATTTCCTCTACTTTTCTCTTAAAACTATATTATTTTTAGTTTTTTTAATGGAAACATATATATTTTACTAGCTTACAAACAAAAAAATGACTGTACAATAACAACTATTGAACCAGAATTTTGGAAGTTAATAATATTTTTATGGAAGGGTGGAAGTAGTAGTACGATTGATAAACATTTAGAAATAAAAATAACAGACCCTCGCTTCACCTATAATGTTGTTATTAAAATGTTAATAACTTCAAAAATATTAGTTCAAAAGTTATGACCGATGAACAATTTTCTTATTTTTAAGCAAGTTATATACGTAATTTTCAGTTTAAAAAGTTGAAAATAATGAAATTTTACGAAAAAACAAGAGGAGATAAAGCTTTATTTTTTTCAACTATTTTAAGTATGTAAGGTACAAGGTAGCCTATAATAACCTTTCACGTTTATTTTTTTAATAACCTGGCGAAAAATGTATGTACAGAGATAATTTAAATACTAAAATAAAGTAGAAATATGCCGTTTTTAGATAGTATATTTAAATTACTTTTACAATTTAAGTCTTAAAAATTATTCCTTGCAGATTTTTACCCTCATTTTTTATACATTCAGACGTTTTTTAAGTTTTCGAACATCTTCATCAGCATATCTGTTCCAATAAGGCCCGATTCTCGAATAATGTTGTTCTTAAGTTGTTCCAAAGTCCTGGGCTTGTCCGCATACACTTTGGATTTCAAATATCTTCATAGAAAATAGTCGCACGCCGATAAGTCGGGTGACCTAGGCGGTCAACAAATTTCAATGTTCCGCGAAACCAGTCTGTGGCGGAAATTTTTTCGCAACAGTTCAATCGTTTCTTTCGCCGAATGACAGGTCATCCCGTCTTACTGAAACTAGGTAGCTGATAATTTTCGTCTACGTTTCGATTCGGGTACCAGAAACTCAATCAACATCAAACGATAGCGCTCACCGTTAACTGGCCCCACGATACCATGTTGGGCGATACCCATCCAAACCGTTAGCTTGAGGGAATGAAGAGGCTTCTCTTGCACGAGCATTGGATTCTCATTAGACCAACACCGCATATTTTGCTTATTTATATTGCCATTGAGGTAAAAATGAGCCACGTTAGTAATCAGTAAACGGAATTTCGCCAGAATTAAGTTTCTCGAGCATACTCTGAACAAATGATTTTCTTGTTGCTGGATCAGTTGTTTCCAATTTCTGAGTGATTAAAATTTTATAAGCATGAAAATTAAGGTGATCGGACAAAATTCTCTGCAGAGAAGTCCGTGAAATATTCAAGTTTGCTGATCGTTTTCGCGTTGATCTGACGGGGCTAATCTGTACTGAATTTCTCACTTATTCCACCATTTCTGGAGTTCATATGGAAACTTTTCGACCGCTCGGTGTTTTTTTAAACGCATCACCACTTTCCTTAAAGTTTTTTATCCATAAATTCACTGTTTAGACGCGATGGAACTGCACTTTTTCCGTCAAGATTAAAAGTTTTACGTAACTCAAGAATTGCACTTACGTAAGAGTCATTATTATTATAATAAGCTTTTACGATAAACGCATGATGAGCACCCGTCCACTGCTCCATTAGGATAAAATCGCAATGAAACATAATTAGGCATCGTCTAGCTATCTGGAACTGGATTTACCGTTATCCTACCTTTTTTTGAACAAAAGTTATTTATAAATAAAATGTGAAAGGTTATTATGGGCCACCTTGTACTTATAACTTCTGAAAAGAAATGTAAATATATTTTATCTTATACTTTTAAGATATTGCGTAAAACAGTTAGCGGATCACCAGTGATATATATATATATACATATTATTTATTAAGTTTTAGTATATTTATTGAAATATAATCACTGTAAATAGTTAGTAAAAAACGAATTTTTAAAGAATTATTGATAAAAGTTGTACAATTATATTTTAGCTTCGATGCGAAGCTGAGAAGGTATTAATTTTACTATGATGTGTTTTTTTTTTTTTTTTTTTTTTTTTTTT